TAGAAAATGGCACCCCATAAAAGCCCTCTAAGGCTCACATTGGAAGGAGCAAGAATAGGTTCATGTTTCTAGTTTTTTCCCTCCTCTCTTCCCTCTCTCCCTCCCTCTCACCCACCCACCCTTTTGTCTGCCCACCTCCCCCCTCCCTCCCTCCCTCCCTCCTCCCCTCCCTCCTTCCTTCCTTCCAGCATGGCGGGGGTGGGGGTCCTTCCTTCCTTCCTTCCTTCCTTCCTTCCTTCCTTCCTTCCTTCCTTCCTTTTCTTCATTCCCCTTCATTCAGCCAAACTCTTTGCTTGGTGTTCTGAGTATAAAGAGAAGATAATCTCTGCCCTCAATGAGCAAACCTATAGGGAAATCAGACAGGGACACAAGTCAAGTGTTTAGTGTTCACAGGATATATCTGAGGTCCTAAGGAAGGAGAGGTCAATTTTTGGAAGTGGTATACGAAACACTCCTCAGAGATGGAATGTTTAAAGATGAGAGGAGAGGGAAACCATTCCTGGAAGAGGGTCAATGTGAACACAGACATAGAGCATAAAGTAGCAATTTAATGAGTTTTAGTGTATTCACAGAATTTTACAACCATCACCAGTATCTAATTCCAGAACATTGTATCAACCTAAACTGAAACCCACTAGCAGTCACTCTCCAGTTTTTTTCCCTCATCTTCCCTAAGCCCCTGGCAATCACTAATCTATTCTCTGTCTCTGAATTTATGTATTTCTGAACATTTCATATAATTGGAATCACATAATATGTGGTCTTTTGCGACTGACTTCTCTCCCTTAGCATAATGTTTTCAAGGTCCATACTGGTAGCAGCATACACCAGTACTTCATTTCTCTTTATGGCTATTATTCCATTTTATGACTATACTACAATTTATTCATTAGTTGATGGACATTTGGGTTGTTATCACTTTTTGGCTCTTATGAATAATGTTGCTATGAACATTTGCATACAAGTTTTAGATTCTCACTAGCAATGTATGAAGGTTTGAATTTCTTCATATCCTCACTTACCAACACTTGTCCATCTTTTTGATTATAACTAGTTTAGTGAATGTGAAGTGGGGTCTCATGATTCTGACTTACATTTACCTAATCAGTAATGGTGAACATCTTTTCTGTATGCTTATTGGCCATTTGTGTATCTTCTTTGGAAAAATGTCTAATGCAAGTCCTTTGTCCACTTTTAATGGATTATTTCATTCCTTTTTATAGTAAGAATTATTTATAAATTCTGAAGATACTTTGCACATATTTTCTTCCACTCTATAGATTGTCTTTTCATTTTCTTGAAATTGACCTTTGAAGCACAAAAGTTTTTTAAGTTTATGAATTCCAATTTATTTAATTTTTCTTTTCTTACTTGTACTTTAGGTGTCATATCTAGGAAACTTTTCCTAACCAAAGGTCAAAAAGATTTATTCCTATGTTTTCTTTAAGAGTTTTATAGTTTTAACTCTTACATTTAGATCATTGATACATTTTGAATTAATTTTTGTGTATAGTATGAGGTAGGGATCTAACTTCATATCCAGTTGTCCTAGCACCATTTGGTGAAAGACTGTTCCCTATTGAATTGTCTTGGTATCCTTGTTGAAATCAATTGACCATAAATGTAAAGATTTATTTCTGGACTCTCGATTCTGTTTTATTCATTTATATTTCCATTTTCATGCCAGAACCCCACAATCTTGATTGCTGTAGTCTTAAAGTCAGTTTTGAAATCAGGAAATGTGAGTTCTCCAACTTTGTTTTCTTTTTTTTCAAGATTTTTTTTTTTCGCTACTCTGCATCCTTTGTATTTACTTATAAATTTTAGGATCATCCTGTTAATTTCTGCAAGATAGCCAGCTGGGGTTTTGATAAGGATTACAATAAATCTTTAGCTCAATTTGAAAGTATTTTCATCTTAACATATTAAGTCTCTGATCCATAACATGTCTTTCCATTTATTTAGATCTTTAATTTCCTTTAGCAACTTTTGATAGATTTCAGTGTGTAAGCGTTAAACTTTTGTTAAATTTATTCTTTAATACTTTATTTTTAATGATATTATAAATGGAATTTTCTTAATTTGATTTTTATATTGTTCATTGCTAGTGTATAGATACAACTGATCTTTATGCTGATTTTATATCCTGCAAACTTACTGAACTGGTATATTAGTTCTGTTAGTTTTTTTGTGGATTCCTTAGCTTTTCCTATATATAAGATTATGTCTTCTGTGAATAGAGATGGTTTTTCTTCTTTTCCAGTTTTTTTCTTGCCTAATTCCCAGCTTGATTCTCTAGTATAATGTACAACAGCAGTGACAAGAATAAAAATCCTTGTCTCCTTCTTGATTTTAGACAGGAAACATCCAGGTTTTTTTTGTTGTTGTTTGTGTTTTTTTTGTTTGTTTGTTTATTTATTTATTTATTTATTTATTTATTTTAACAGTAAGTATATTAGCTCTTGGTTTTTCATAGGTACCCTTTTATCAGGTTGAAGATGTTCTCTCTTTTTTTTTCTAGTTTGTTCAGTGTTTTTATCATGAAAAGATGTTAAATTTTATCAAACGCTTTTTCTACATCTATTGAGGTGATCATGTGAGAGATTTTTTCCCCTTTGTTCTGTTTACATGGTATATTACATTGGTTGATTTTCAGATGTTAAACCAACCTTAAATTTCTAGGAGAAATACAACTTTGTCATGGTATATAGTCCTTTTTATATCTTGCTAGGTTCAGTTTGCTACTATTTTGTGAGGACTTTTGTATCTATATTCATAAGGGATATTAGTCTCTAGTTTTCTTGTAATATCTTTGGTTTTTGGTATGTGGATGATATTGGCCTCATTTCAAGCTGGAAAGTGTTCCCTCCACTTCTGTTTTTTGGAAGAGTTTGTGAAGGATTGGTGTTAATACTTTAAATGTTTGGTAGAATTCATTAATGAAGCTACGGTCCTGGACTTTCTATTTGAAAAATTTTTAAATTACTAATTCAGTATCTTTCCTTGTTATAGGTACGTATACAAATTTACCATGTTTTCTCTTTCAGTACTAAATACTTATTCCTTTAGTAATTCAAGAAATATTTATTGAGCATCTATTATATCCAGACCCTGTTGTTGACATAAAGGATACAACAGTGAATAAAACAAAAGTCCTGGCCCAGTGGAGCTTTCTCGTATTCTTTTTCTCATTTCATGTTACCTATATATACATATTTTTGTTTATATTTACATGTAATGTAGATCTAATCCTTGTTTTAAAAAATTCCGACATGCCATTGGTGGAGAAATGGAGTCCTTTGGTTTGATGTGTATATTGTCATAGTTTGTATAAACTCTTAGCTATTCTTGATCTGAGTTGTATGCATGGGAAGTAGAATATATTGTTATTACAATCATAGTTTATATTGGTGCTTACTCTTGGCATTGCTACAAGGACATATTTTTAATAAAACAAACTACCACCATCTGTATTTATTATCATCCTCAGGACCATCAGTGCCTTCTATTCTGTCTGATCATCAGCAGAAGCATGTATCAGTTTCCTAGGACCATTGTAACAAAGTACCACAAACTGGGTGACTTAAAACAAGTGAAATCTATTCTCCCACAGTCTGTAGGCTCGGAGTCTGAAGTCAAAGTGTTAGCAAGGCCATGCTCCCTCTGGGACTCTGGGTAGAATCCTTCCTTATCTCTTCTTAGCATCTGGTGGTGGCCATGAATCCTTGGCATTCTTGGCTGGCAGTTGCCTTACTCCAGGTTGTGCCTCTGTCATCACATGGTGTTCTCCCTGTGTGTCTGTCTTCATAAGCCATTCTGCACTTATAAGGACACCAGCCATATTGGATTAGGGCCCATCCTAATGATGCCATCTTAACTTGATTACCTCTACAAGGACTCTGTTTCCAAATAAGATCACATTTATAGGTACCAGAGGTTGGTGATTCAACATATTTTGGGAGAGGGTACATAATTCAACCTGTATCAGTGTATTGTGCTCTCACTCTGAGAAACTGAGTGGAGGCCTCAGTAACATAACTAATTTTAGTAGCTTTTATAAAAGTTTCATGGTATGTTCTGTCTTTTAAAAAAATAATGTCCCCTCCCCATTATACAATAAGCCCTGAAGGTATCATTGATCACACACATGTATTTTATTTTCTAACTGTAAATACTGGCAAGGAAGCAGCGATTAGTTCTGATTAGTTCTATAACCAGGGCTTGTAAGAGTAATGTTCAAAAGTAATATCTCTCAAATCACAGTTTATGTGCCCGCCCAAATAAAACAGAATCACATAAGAGTTTGTGAATGATGTTTGGAAAAGCAGTTGACTGCTCATGTACACTGTCCCCTTACCACAATCACAGGAATCTTATACATAGACCAGTTTAAGCACTGCCAGAATCCATCTCTGTATTGAAATAAAAGAACATGGTTTATGAAATTGTATTCATATGTGTTGGATTGAAAATGACAAGTGCTGTATACAGTACAACTTAACTTTGGAACAAAGTTAAAAGAACAAAATGGTATCTTCTGAGCACCTGTCTAGTGGTCTCTTTGCTCATTTCAATTGTTGTTAATCACCTTCCCAAGTATTTTTTTTAATCCACAAATGCTGTTATCTCTACTTTGTCACAATGCAATTATTTTAGTGTCTGTCACTTCTTAGTATTATTCACACCTCTAGAATACTAAGGAGTGGCACTCTTAGGGTCAAGAATAAAGAATTTGGATTTCTTCTTGAAAACAAAGCCCATCACCCTGTTCTTTTGGCACAGAATTCCTGAGACATTGTTCACATTTGTTGCTTCCACCAAGTATTGGGGTCTGTTTTTAATATTTAGCTATTTATTGGTTGTTTTCTTCTATGATTTTGAATTGAGCCATTGACTTCTTACATTCTTATGGCCACCTCACTTGTTTCTGCTTTAGTTTCAATTATGTAGCAATAATGCAAACTTTACTTGTTCTTTTTTTTTCTTTTCAAACAATTCAGGGCAATCTAGAGCAGCTATGATACCTCCCAAGCATCCACGGCAGCCTAAGGGAGCTTTGGATGATGCCATTACCTTTGCTGGGAAAACAGACCAAGAAGCACCTAATGCTTCCCAACCTATGCCACCCCCACTGCCAAAGAAAATGATTATAAGAGCCAATACAGAGCCAATCTCCAAAGACCTACAAAAATCCATGGAAACTAGTCTTTATGTCATGGCTAATCCTACCTATGATATTGATCCCAACTGGGATGCCAGCAGTGCTGGCTCTTCCATTAGTTATGAACTCAAGGGACTGGACATTGAGTCTAATGACTCCTTGGAGAGACCTTTGCACAAGGAGCAACCTATCCCCTCAGCAGCAAATAGCAATTCCAGCTTAACCACTCTCAGTATTAAGGATAGATTTTGCAACAGCATGGAGTCCCTCTCCAGTCGACGTGGTCCCTCTTGCAAACAGGGCCGAGGCATCCAGAAGTCACAGAGACAAGCACTTTATCGAGGACTTGAGAATCAGGAAGAAGTGGTGGGGAAAATCCGAAGCCTTTATACAGATGCCTTGAAGAAACTAGCTGTTAAATGTGAAGACCTCTTCATGGCTGGGCAGAAAGACCAGCTCCGTTTTGGGGTGGACAGCTGGTCAGACTTCAGGCTAACCAATGACAAGCCATGTTGCGAGGCAGGTGATGCAGTTTACTACACAGCGTCATATGCAAAAGATCCACTTAATAACTATGCAGTCAAGGTAAGAAAATGTTATAAATTTGATTTTAATCTTATCCAGCACACTGTTATTGGAACGAGTCTGTTCTTCTTCCCTCCATTCTGCAAAAAGTTGTTAAGCATCTACCTTACACCAGATATTGTAATAAGCAGGGAGCTTACTTATTATCTAAACAGACATGTAAAGAGACAGACTTACAATGCAGTATACTAAAATAATGGTAAACAGCATTCTATAGGAGCTTGGAAGGACCTTAACCCAGACTCTAAAGGTCAAAGAAGTCTTCTTGAAATAGGTAATCCTTGAGCTGTGATTGTTTGCATTGGCTACCTGTACAGATAAGGTCTGTTATGTGCCTTGCACTCCAAGTTTTTCTGTCTTTGTTCTCTAGCACAGCAGACCCCAAACTTTTTGGTACCAAGGACTGGTTTTCCTATGAGATTCTAATGCCTGATGGCCTGACGGCAAGCTGAAGCGATGATGCTAGCTCTGGGGAGCAGCTGCAAATACAAATGAAGTTTTGCTCAATCACCTGTCGCTTACCTCCTGCTATGAGGCCCAGTTCCTAACTGGGACCAATATCCATCAGTGGCCCAGGGGTTGGAGACACTGCTCTAGCAAATAAGAGACCCTTGTCTACCCCTGCTCTATAATTGTTCTGCTTCCTAGAGAAACATTTTTATAGAGGAAGATAACCAATATTTGTTGATGTGCCAAGAACTGTGTTAGTGTTATATAATTTTATCTTCACAGCAACTTTATAAGGCTAAGATCTTTTTTTCTATTTGACAGATGAGGAAATAAAGCTTGGAGAGATGAACTAACTTGCTTAGAGTCACACAGCTAGAAATTAGTAGATTTGTGATTTAAATACAAATCTCTCTGACTCCATAGACTACACTTTCTCCATTATGTCACATATTAATTTCTTAATGTATATGGCCCATTCCAGACAACCTGTTTTTTCAGAGGGCAAAAACTCAATGTCAAGAATTCTTGTCCAATTACGTTCAATGTAACAGTAAGTGATAAGCTTCTTCAATGTACTAAATAAAGCCTGGACTTTGAAGTCTAAAAGATCTGGGTTCAAATTCTGGCTCTGCCACTTAGTAGCTTTGTCACAAGTTGCTACTCTGAATCTCAACTTCCTCAACTTTAAAGAAGGATAATGATTACCCATCCTATGGGGCTGTTTGGCTAATAGAAAACAAAATGTCTCTGATAAGTATTTCTTTCACTATTCCTTAAGTTCTGCCCGATACATTAAGAGAGTAATAATATTTAAGCCTCAGTTTCCTCCTCTTAAATGTTTACAGTAATAATCCAGGTTGGGATCAAGTGAGATAATTGTATGTGAAAGAGTTTTTAAAAACACAAAGATCTATGTAAACGTAAGGTAATGTTCTCCAATCCCATAGTTCCTTTTCACTGATTCTATTCATGGTTTAAAACCAATTAACATATCTAAAAGACTTCTATTTGTTAATTTGCCTTAGAAAGACCAGATGGTGTCTTAGTAAATTAATGAATAAGATAAACTAAAGCCCTTACCCATATATCACAACAGTATATATTTGGACCAGACCTTAAACTAGCTGCTCTCTGCAGTTGCAGCACCTACATCGTTTACCTGTAGTGACACTGGCAGAGTTGCCCTGTGTCCCAACCCATATATTACTGTTGAGTCTAAAATAGCATTTTGAGATTCTGTGTTGCGCTCAAGGGCTGTTATATCAATTAGGGTTAATGGGGCCTTTTCTACCTTGGATTACCTTATTATTGCTATAATACAGGAGTGTCAGTGCAGGATGAGGACATATTTCAGAAAGGGATATTGAAATATATGTTATTTCAAAACAACTGAGAAGTAGGATTTGACTAACTTTATGTATTGTTGCCATGCAATTTTGTCTCTTTCCTAAGAGAATCCGTGGTCTGGCTTACAGACAGCATAGCTTGTAGATAGCTGTGTAGGGGATTGTGGGTTGGGGTGGGGGACAGAGTATATCACATTAGGGGTTAGGGGTTGGGGCTTCAACATAAGACTTTTGGGAGGACACAATTCAGTCTATAACTTTATTTTTCATTCAGTGTGAATATCATTTTTCTTTTTATTGATATTAAACTAAAAGTCAACACAGATTAAATAAAGGAGATTCCGAGTCAGCTGTCATGAGTCCAAGTCCTGAATCTATTGCTATATATTCCCAAGTATATCATTTAACTAAACATGTCTTGGTTTTCACATGAATGTATACTTACTGCCCTACCTACCTTATAAGATTGTTATAATGCACATATGTTTATGTAGTGAAACTGCTTTTATAAATTATAAAGTATATATAAAATATAATGAAATAATACATTATTGTTTTTAACAGTAATGGAAAATTACTGCTCAACATTTTTTTTAGATTATTCACTATTATTCTTCTTTAATATTAGGCACTAGCCTGAGCATATTTAGATAGGTTCTGCACTTAGATATTTTCTTTCTCATTACTTCAAAGATGTAAACATCTTTCCTTAAAATTATGAGAGAAAGCTACTAAATGCTAATATCCTCATGGTTTTTAGCACTGCAAAAAATTGGAAACAAACTAAGTGCCTGTTATTAAAGAAACAATTTAATAAATTATGCTACATCAGCCCAATGGAATGTTGCAGCTATTAAAAATGGTAATTATGAAGACTGTACAAATCATGAAAAACATGTTTTGTAAAATGTCACATGAAAATAGAATACAAGATAATATGATTATAACTTTTAAAAAATTGACCAACAAAATTGTACTATGTGGATAATTCCTATGTAAGAATAGTGATAGTTACAGGTAATTTTTATTTTGTTTTAAAAAGTAATATCATAATGTCTTTTCAGTGCAAAAACTAAGGAATTAGAAATTTTGGATCATTTGAGATTTAGCTTCTCAAAAGCAGGTATCCTTAGTAATTCATCTCTTTAGTCTCATACTCTAGCACAAATTATAAATAGGTTCTATTTCATGCTAACCAGATTTGTACACACTCATCCTGTCTGGACTGCTCTTCTGGGAAGAGCAGTTGACCTCTTTCAGAGTCACTTCAGGGGTCCTCATGAAAAATGTAGTTTCCTTGGCCCCATCCATACCTACAGAATCAGAATCTCTGGAAGTGAGGCCTAAGAAACTCCAATTATTAGCAAGCACCCCCAGGCGATTTCTATACACAAACTTTGAGGACTGTTGATATGGTGGTTAAGAATTTGGGCTTTTAAGTCAGAAAGACCTGGGTTTAAATTTGTGCTTTAGCAACTTATTAATAAGCTGTGTTACCCTGGCCCAGTTACTTGTTGTTTCTAAGCTGGGTGTCTTTATATATAAAATGGAGAAAAAAAACCTCATTCTTCTTAAAGCCATTGTGAAATATCACAGGAGTCAGTATGTACATGGTGATGTATATAATGCTCAGAGCATCATTTGAAAGCATTGAGTAAGTACTAGCTATTGATTCCTTCTCTCTTCTCATGTACCTAGAAAACTCCTTCCCGTGTTTTTTTAATCCAGCTCTGTGAATTTTCTTCTCTGACCTTCTGAGAACATGTTGATGGCTCCTCTCTGTTTATGTATTTTATACCCCATGAATTTCTCTATCACTGCACCTAAGTTATGCTACAGTTGTACATTTGTACAATACTGCCATTATGCAATTAAGGTAACATGCTTCCCCTCCCCACTATTAGATTTGAGCTTCCCCATGACAAGAACCATCACTTATTAATCCTTATATCCTTATTATATTATTAATCTGATATCCTTAGCATTAGATAGCAGTATATGCTGTCTAATGTAATACCATGTACATGGTGGGCATTCGATAAGTATTTTTTTTACCTTTTAGGAAACATTTACTGTACAAAATGTGATATCTGTGTAGGTTTACAGAACTACATATAAATAGGACACAGGCCTTGCTCTCAAGGAGCTTATATTGTAGTGGGAAAGACAAAGGCATAAGTAATTCTTAAACAAGACATTATGATGAAGGTTTAGAGTCGCATACAGAGATGTAAAGAATGAAGATGAATGAATGAAAGAAGTCATTAACATTTATCTCAGGGCCACAAAAAGGGCCTCTCGTGTCCACTTCACACTGTGCTAAATACAGTGTGTGGAAAGAATCGTGAAAAATTTGGCTATGGAGAGTTTTGGGACCAAATTTAGAAGCTTTGATTGATGAGCTTAAGAGGTTAGATTTTGTTTTTTGTGGGAGGCCACTAAGGCTTTTCACATAGAGGCATAGCATAAAATTAATGATTTTGAAAGAAAACTATGGTGGAAAAGTCCAGAAGAACTGGAAGAAGGGAAGTCAGACATTATGCCATTGCAAGAGTCCAGGTAAATAATATTGAGTCCCTAAAATGGGACAGTGGAAAAGAAGGGGCAGATAGTGAAAGAGCTAAGGCAGATGATAAACTGTGTCTGGTGAGTGGCCGGATGTAGAATGAGGGCAGTAATGCTAAAATTTCAAGAAGGAACAATCCAGGAGGATGGCGATACCATTAACTAAAATATGGATCAGAAAAGCTAGAAAGATAAGCTCTTTGTGAAGTATGCCCCCGGGACAGTTAAGTCAAGAGAAACACGGTAGCCAGATTTTTAAAATGTAGTTTTGGTATTCAGAAGAGAGGTCAGGACTAGAAATATGGTACCCACGCCCCTCATAGACTTGATTTAGTTCAAACTGTGGGAATATATGAGATGGTAGTGCTAGAGCCTACAAATTGGGAAAAGGCCCACACCTAAGGGACCCAAATTAAGAGAATTTAGAAAAGAAGTATCAAAAACCGAAGACCTATAGATCAGAGAGTCCAAGGTTGCAGAAAGCTTGAGCAGAATGAGTAAAGGAAGGAGTTCAGTCTCTGGTAAACCTTAAGAAAATACAGTCTCAGGAATAATGGGAGTGGATACCAAATACAGCGAGATAGAGGGAGCATGAAGCGGGGAAGCTATGGAGACAATGAGCACAGCCTACTTTTTAAA